GCGCGCGCGCACACACACACACACACACACACACACACATGCGACACGCACACACACACACACAAACACACGCACACACACGCACACACACGCACACACACGCACACACACTCACAAACACATACACACACACACGCACACACACACACCCTCTCAATCTCTCTCGCACGAGCGCATGTGGAGAGACAGAGAGACAGAGGGAGCGCGCGCTCCCTCACACGGCTGTGCGCTGATGCACACGTTTATTTTTTTATTTTCTTTTATCAATCAATCAATCAAATCGATCAAAAATCAATCAATCAATCAATCAATCAACAACCAACCAATCAATCAACCAATCAATCAATCAATCAATCAATCAACCAATCAATTAATCAATCAATCATTTTTTTTTTTTTCAATCAATCAATCAACCAATCAATCACTCAATCAATCCTTTTTTTTTTCGTTAAAAAAAAAAAAGTTTCATTTTTTTTATAGAAAATGTCGGGGGGTCCTTGCCACCTAGGCCACCCCCCAGACCGTCAAAAGCGCCACGAGAACCCCCCCCTAGCCTCTGCAGGGTTTGAATGGGGCCGTTCTGTACGGCCGTCCTGCCTTCCAGGCCCTTCCGAACGGCAGCGGTTTACTCAGCCCTCCACTCTTCTCCACATGCACAAAAGACAAAGAATGCGGCCGTCTGCGTTCCCATGTTCTAGCGGAAGACTCAGGGCCTCGCCACACCACTCTCGAATCTCGAAAATATTCGAGAGCTGTCAGGATTTTTTGAGAGGCCGGTTTTCGAGAGAAAATGGCCCTTCGCTACATAGCACACTAGACCTGCCTCTCGAAATGGACGAACTCGAGCGCGGACGGGCGGCATCACCAAAAACGGCCTGACATCTCTCCAAATGGACGTCGAACTCGAGCGCGGAGGGGTGGCATCACGAAAACTCCAACGCTGCAGGCTGGGCAAAAACATCTTTTCGAGAGGGCACTCAAAAATGCCTTTCTGACAGCTCTCGAACAGTTTCGAGTTTTTTTTTCGAGGGATGCTGTGTGGTGGTGCCCGACTCACGAATTTTCGAGATTCGAGAGTGGTGTGGCGAGGCCCGCACTACTCTCCACATGCACAAAAGACAAAAAAGCTGCCAATGTATCTTTCCATGTTCTAAGAGTGGATTCAGTCTCATTTTGGACATTTGGAGAGTAGTGCAGCGAGGGCCTCAGTCTCATTTCCCACATTTGGTGAGTAGTGGAGCCAGGCCCAGGGTCTCTCTCCATTACTATCCACTCTCCTAATTTGGAGAGTGCGACGTCTCTCCAAAATGGGTCTCAAAAATCCTTTGGAGACTTGTCTTCTATTGCGGCCCTCGTTGTGTTTCTTCAGGCCTCGCTCCACTACTATCCACTGTACAAAATACGATATCCCATAGGGCCTCGCTGCACTACGTTCGAAATGTGCAAAACGAGAGTGAATCTTCTGCCAGAAGATGGAAAGATACACCACCATGAGTTTTGTCTTTTGTGCATTTCGAGAGTAGTGCAGCGATCATGTACATTTCGAAAGACTGCAAATAGTTGTCAGACATCCTCGAGCATGTCCACTGTCCAGCCTTTGTATATTTCCCAGCCTGCAAATTTTGTTATGGGGAAAGTCCTTTACGGAACTCATGGTGCAGACCCGAATTTGGAGAGTGGAACTGGACTCTGGGCCGTCCCTTGCAGTAGTGCTGCCACGGCGTCTGGTAGTGATCTCCCGAATTGGAGAAATGTACGGAGGATAGTAAAGGTCTGATCCCACCTCTTTTCTTTTTCGAAAGAAGAACGTAAAAGTGCTGCCAAAGGTAGAGGCGCAGCGCAGGGAGCGTGAAAGAAAAACGCGACCCCACATGCCCTACTTCTGCAGGACTTTTCCTAACAGAGCAGCTCTATCTTGTGTCGCCTCAACGGCCTGCACATCAGGGGAAAAGAAAAAGGAAGCAAAAATAAAGGGCCTGCACATCAGGAAAAACACAACAAGGAATAAACAAGGGCACCTTCTTTCAAGGTGCAGGGTACGGGGGTGACGTCTTTTGATTTTTGAAAGAACAACCGGTCCTCAAATTGCGCTCGCACTGCCATGTACTAGGCTGTTTCCACTTCTTTGAAAAAACAGGGTCACCTCCGGTTCTTGCAGAGAGAAGTGGGATCCCAAAATTAATCAAAAAGTGACTTGCCTATAAGAAGTGGTATCCTGGGCTAAAAAGAATAAACTCGCAGCAGTGTCTTGGCAGGGGAAACTGGTTCTGTCAAAGTGGTTATGTAGGGAGTAGTTAGCAGTAGAACATAATTGCTAACCCTGTTCTGTCAAACCCGGGTTAGGGTGGGGACTGGGTACTCACATTCAGAAGTAGCAGTAGTCTTAGAACTAGAAAATATAAGTAGGGACTAGAATAAATTAGAATGGGAAGGGGTTGTAAAGCAGAACCTACCTGTCACTCAGTAGTTCGTGAGGCCTTTCCATCAGGTGGTCAGAAGAGTCTCGACATAGAGCTCAGGAAGTCCACAGCAGAGAATACTTGAGTGGTCATCCAGTTTTATCTTCTGCATTTGTCTGCCAGGTTGGTCTGGCTTAAATGTGTCCTCTGTTACCGGGTTGAAATGTGAGGTCCCCAGCCTCAAACTCTTGATTACGTAATGAATTTGTGATTTTAAATAAAAAAAGAAGAAGAAGAAGAAGAAGTGGTATCAGACTCTAAGTGCAGCGAGGCGGTGTTATCTCCCATTTCCAACACTCTGACAGCTATACACTAACTATACATCATTTAAATTCATTTTGTATAGCCGACAGTAGTGGAGTCAGCATGTGACACTCCCCACGAATTGAAGTTTAAACTTCAAAAATAATAACTTAAAAAAAAAGATTGAGGCCCTTCTATTGCCACCACGAATTGGAGAGTCCTTGGAGAGACTGTCCACCCGTTGCGTGTAAGTGGACTGATCAAAGTATTTTCCGCCCGGGGACGTTTGCCAAAGGGCTCCCAAGAGCTGGGTACCCGACCGAAGGCGCTGAAGGCGTCGTTCGAGTCTCTAGATGAGGTAGAGAGATGGTTCTGGTTCCAATGCACATTCCCTTAGGTGGCTAGTCTGTCTGTCTTTGTCTGTTTTCGTTGTGTTTGCGGCAATATATTCCAAGAATTAGTTTGTGGATTGAAGGTAGGATTGGTGTGGTAAGTTCTGTAGAGCGTTTATGGTGCACTGGATCTGACAACACTTAAACTGGCGTGCTGAGTTCTGTAGAAAACATTCATCGTTGACTGGACCCGATAACACTTACATGCGCAGGCGTGGTGTGGGAGTCGCTTTTTCGTCATGATGTGGGAGAAGTCTCTCATAGATGAAGGATGACGACTAGGATGAGAGAGAGGGTGAGGATTAGTATGCGAGAGAGGACGAGGAGTAGGATGTGAGAGAGGACAAGGGTTAGGATGTGCTAGGTGACTTTTGTGGGAAAGTCATTTGACCCTGCAAAAAAAAAAAAAAAAAAGTATTTTCCTCTTTTTAGAGATTCTGACAGCTCTTCGAACACTCGACGCCAATGTTTGGGAGAGTGGACAATAGCGGAGAGAAACCCATCGTCAACACTGGGAGTTTTCTGACTGTACCCCTGTCTGGCTGACAGGAGCATAGTCAACACACACCAGAAGCTTTCTCGACAAGTCAGATCAATATAGCTATTGGGTATAAGATTTGACCCCTCGACGGCCCTAGCTCAGTTGGAACGCCCAGCAAATGTTGAAATACAGACAGTGTCACTGGTTTGAATCCCGATGAACCGAAGAAAGAAGGCGAAAAAAGAAAGAAAGGATATGAGCCCTCTTTCTGTTTGTAATTTGTGTGTGCTCATTCTGTTCGAGATCTGTCTGTTTGGAGCCCTCTCTTTCTGTTTGTGTGTATGCCTGTTCTGTTCGAGTCTGTTCTATGCACCCCTAATAGCGCTGCAGGCACTCCAAACAACCTGCCACAAACTGTTTGGCACTTCGTAGAGGTGCTTGCTTGGACACACGAAGAATACTAATACGAATCGCAGACATCACACATAAAACTGACTTTATGTTTTTTGGTGTGTTTGTGTGTGTGTGTGTGTGTGTGTGTGTGTGTGTGTGTGTGTGTGTGTGTGTGTGTGTGTGTGTGTGTGTGTGTGTGTGTGT